AATCACCTCGGATACCCATCACGCCTTTCAATGAACTCAGCAACCTCTTTCCTAACCCCTGGAAGACCTCTTGAGTCACTGTAAGCACCTAATGAACCATAACAAGATAATCACTTTCTGATTTTCCCACACTTAATCTACAGATCTCAGATAAGTTCAATAAACGCAGTACCTAATCCGCCTGAAGTCAAGGAAAGATAATGCTTAGCTCTTGCAATAGCATCAGCGGGAAATAGCATTCCAACATTCGGATCATCTAGTAGAAACGGAGCTTGACAAAGCGCCACCACCTGCAGTTTTTCTTCTTTTACTATTAAAGCTCAACGTAGATTGAAGTCTGATTGTCCAAGAATTGTCTATTGTTACCTGGCGAGGAAATGTAAGCGGCTTCTGTCCTAAAGCATGAGGGTTCCCAACGTTTGTGAAAATAATCTGTCATGTAATATGCAAATAACTATGAACAAATCAAGTCTGCTAGATCATAATTGCAAATGCCATATCAAGTCCAAAACAAACAAAGAATCACAAGTCTATCTAAAAGCTCCTTGTTAAGTTTGCTCTACTTTTCCTGAGATTGCGTAGTTGGTAACACATTTTAAAGAGTAAAGCCAAGATGCAAAGACAAAAGATAACCCAAAATGTATTATTACCTTCTTGCCTTCTTTCTGAAGCTCAGAAGCTCGGAGATAGAGCTCACCTCTCACAGCATACTGACACTTCTTCACGTTTTCATTGAGAGAGTCGTAGTCTAATGCCTTGAGAGCCATTTAATTCCCCACACTTGCTCACTTCAACCTTATCAAGACCCTCTATAAATCGAAACAATCAAAATAGAGTCCATCAAGTCCCATCAGCAATTGGAACCAGAAAGAAACCAGATTGTATAAATGAATCGAGATCAAAACTAAACTGGCTCTTGAAGCAGAATAGCAAAAAATTTGTTCTCATTTTCCAGAAAAAATTAGTAATCTTCAAGAATAACACAAAAAGGCGACGCCTTTACAAAAGGGTTTTTCAACATCATTCAAAGTAAAGAGAAATTGATGAACCCAAAACGAAATTAATCATCACAGACCTTCAAAGACAGTGTTTTGATGAGGCTCTCTGGAGAGTCACGTTGAAGAAGCCAAAGCAAGAAAGAGTGGGGAGAGTTATTAGAGTGTGTGAGTTATTTTAAAAAATATATTTGTGTAAGAAGATTACAAATGTGTGTTTGATATGAATTTGGATCATTCGACAATCCAATCATGTGGCATCGTAACAAAGGAAGCAGCAGAGCCACTGAAAAATTCGACGAAGAAGATTTATCAGACAAAAGTCAATTCACAATATCTATCATCCGTGTCTCGTTTTTATGATACTTTTAAGACTGATCTCGGAGAAAATAAAAGAAGCAGATAATTTAAGAGAGAATAAATGTGGTGGATATTCGAGAGATTTGTTATAATAGATAGATGCATTTCACTATATGTATTTCACTATATGGAGCCCATATTACTACTCCCAAACACTAACTTATGTTTTTTCTCTTCTATATAAAAGATGCATTTCTTTCATTTGTACACACACAATTCATAACTTCAATAATAAGAANTAGCAAACCTTCCTTNTTTCTCAATCTTCATTTCATCAGTATCCCGTTCTTTANCGGGTATAATATTTTTGTTNTTATTGATATTTATCGAAATGATAAATTATATCATTCTTTTTATAACACGTTATCAGCACGATCACTCTAAAAAGCTCAATTTTCATATGCATACTTATTGTATCCTATGGTGTGCGGACTACCGCATCAATAATAATTTTATGTGGTTGTTTTACACACCATA